CCACATTGCATCTCACAGTCTTGAGCAAAGAAAGTCATGCTCTCTTCAGATTGAGATGCACCATAGGAGCAAACAAACTTTAAGAAACGGCCAGGGTAACGCTTCTTGGAATGAGTAAAGCCGATAAGGTAATTGCCATTGCAGGAAACTCATACCTTTTTATAGAAGGACGTCTACCTCCTTGCAGTTTCAAAGGTCTCATTGAATACAGATCATGTGTGGTCGACTAATGGAGGGCTTAATGAGAGGAAATTGGTTACTGGTCGCATCTCGTACCAGAAGGAAGAAGATAAAACATCGGCTGCGCGATGAAGGAATGGAGACGGAAAATCGGACAAATAGCGCATAGTTTAACTACGGACACTGTGAATAGAGAAAGATGTGGGCTTAATCAATTGAGCCAAACATGAAAATAAGAATCTTAGTTATTTTCTGATACGTACTCGTGGGTTACCTCGTAGACAAAGAATTGGGGCATTTATGCCATGTTTAAGTTCTGATATATGTCATCATGTTGAGCATGCCTCTTCTGTGTATCTTTTTCCTGTCACGTGTATATCCAAAGAAACTGTCAATAGTTATTCACGAACTTCTGAATTCGCTCTGGATCTACAAACCCTGTATCAAAGAAGTGAGCATAACAATGATCATTGTACACAGAAATCACAACAAATAACTTACGCAATCTGCAAGCAAGAATGATGTATAGAACCTCATACCAAACTGACCAATTAAATAGTTGTCACCACCTGCATCAGAGAAACTGCAACTTTTTAATCTCTTAACTCAGTTCCACCACCAAAGGAAGTGATAAGACGACAATGGAGGAGGAGGAGAAGCGGAGGCTTTACGGGTTAGGCGATTTTAGGATCTATGGGGTGTATTGAATTGCCAAGAGGAACCGCCGAAGGTGAAAAAAGTTATTAAGAAAGGATTTAAGAACATATCGTGATTAAATCCAGAGTAGAAACGGTAGATTGCAGAGAGCAGAAGCGCTGGAGTCGGTCAGGTTGGAGAAGTGGATGTTAGATGGGCCAGTATGAAATAGTGAGCCCACACGAGTGGTTTGTTTAAGAACTGGTCGTGACATGTCAATTTGAAACTCTCCTATTGGTCGATTTAATTGGCTGATGTGGACACTCTAACTGATGAGTATAAGCAACTTTTAATATAGTATAGATTAAGTAAATAATTATAATCTTCGGTCATCAGCAATGACTCAACTTAAACATATTTAATTAACGAATATGTATGTTCTGTATATATATATTCTTTTCTTTTTTAACGAATGTCATTATTCTTGAAAGGTTTTTACAGTACTTTCCAAAACTAATCTTGTTAAAAAAAAAAAAATTGTATTTAACTGCAGGTGGGTCAACAATTTACAATATATATATTTGATAATTTGTCCCAATACTTATCTATACGAAAATACTCCAGGAAACGTAGTCTGATTTTATTTGATTAAACTAATCATAAAGACACAATGGAATAATCTGTTGTCATTGTGCTCAACACGTGAGTTCATTTGAGTATGGATTCGTCCAGCGTGGCTCGCTCGAGCCCCGAGGCATGACTTTGGCTTTGTTCTTAACGATCCCCATCTCTCAATTACTTAACTAATCTTACCATTTGTATATTTTAATTAATAATGTACATTATATGCATTTAGTTATATAAGTAACTCCTCGGATGTCATTTCTTGTCTTTAATTAAAACAGAAGCAATGCATAGAGTCAAAAACAGACAGATCAAAGAGGATACGCCCAAATCTCACCTGTTTCAATTACGATGAAAAAACAATAATTTGATAATTCAAGTTGGCAGAAACACGTCGATTCTTCTGCACCGGCCTCGATCGAGTTACATATAGAAATCAAACACGTACTGATTTGTCATATCATATGTGATATGTAGGGTGTTACTTGTTACTAATTACATTTCAGTGTCAAAGTGTCATTAAATGGCTTGCTTTATTCAAAACCTACCAATCTCTCGACAATAGATGGTTCAGCGTCTGTTGTTACATTTATACAAAGAACAACTGATTAGTATAGAGTGAGTATATAAGAGATTACACTTTCTAAACTGTTTTTTTTTTCTCCAACAAATCATTAATGTTTTCAACCAAGAACGACAAAAAACTTAAATAACATTTATGCTTATTCATTCAATGAATGGTCCTTCCTGCAACAATTAAATCTTATGCATCTGGACCATCGACTTCTTGGTATGAGACCGGTGACGTCTTTCTCTGACAAAAATCATCCAAAAGATGAGGGAGAACATGACTGCACCAGAGAGTGACGCGAGTCCTGCGTAGATCCACTGGCTGGTGATGGTGAGTCCAGGGCAGTTCTTGGTTGTTATGTCCCTGAAGGTGTCTCGGACGAAGGAGCAATCAGCAATACTAGCCAAGAACGGACCATAATGGTCCAACGTGAACCCGACGTTGATCGCACCCATCATCTGGTCGTATGAAGCTGGAGTTAACCTACCCGGTGTTATGCAGACCCCTTCTGCGTTCACTTGGCACACAAATCCTTTGTAGATCTATTTACCAAAGAAACATACAAAAACGTGTTATTCTAATCAAATGATTTTTGTACTCTTGTAATGCTACTATAGAAATTGACATATATATCATCATTTATATACAATTTATGTTTCAAAAGAAAAGGTTTTGGATATATGTATTGTGTACCTGAGAAGCATTAGCGAGGAGGATTTCGTTAGGAGCACAAGGACGTGGGTTGCGATGTTCATCGAGCGGGTTACAGAGCAGAGGAACGAGCGGACCAGACTGGTTATGGTAGAAAGGGACATTAGGTGGGAACTCATGGTTACTGACGTTGACAGTGTACGCATTAGTCATGTCAACGGCCGTAGCAGTCATCGTCTTGGTTATATCCAATGTATCTCCAATGGTTTTTGCGTCTAAACATGGAAGAAGTTGGCTCAACGCCGACTCTGCCGCTGGATCATGCACCCATTGATCCATAGCCGTACATGTGTCCGCGACCACACTGTTTAATTTAACATCTTTAGTTTGATAATGTAAAACAAAATCAAAGTTACATTACAAGTAATAATGTCATTACTTGTGAAAGACGAGGAAGACTGCGCTGAGGAGGATCGTTGCTGTGACGAGAATCCAACCCAGGATTACTAAGCTGAGGATTAAAGATTAATAATAGCCATTTAATTTGACATGATACAATGAAATATATCAACTGTATATAGAGAAGTGTATTACTCACAGGTAGACAAGAACTCGTAGTCCACAGAAAGAAAACACTGTTCAAAATTACAAAACATGTTATGGAGGCAAAATCCTATTAAAAATGTTAAATACTTTTAGAAACTTACAGAGTCCGAGGAATGCGACTGCGAGCATAACACCAGCGATCACATTTAACACTAATCTCCTGAAGAACATTATTAAAAAAAAAAAAAATGGAGTCAAATAATCAAACAGAGCATTCTGTTTATTAATAACTTGTGACACAAGTCATACGTCTAACAAATGCTTACACAGGGTTTAGTGCTCCGGTGAGATAACGGATTGTCTGGTTAGCGACACGGTCAGGGTAGGTGATGTTAGACATTTTGATCATGTTGTTGAAATGATCAATATTACCTCTAAACTGAGGAGGAAAGAGGTTATGTCCATCGAGCTGAATGTCTTTAGCAGATTGAATGGAATCCCACAAGCTCGTTAGCTTACCCAAAACACTAGTTGCTTGATTCACAATGTACATAAACGTCTTCTCCACGCTACCGTAGAACTCTTTTTGCCCAGTGTACAACATCGTAGACCCAATCCTGAAGAAGAAAAAAACATTACTTAGGTTCCGATTGGTCAAGAACTAAAACAATAATTAATTAAATGTATATGTTGTGAAGGAAGGAAGAGGAAGGTTTACACGGCGGCAACGGTGAAGAGGAGGAGGAAGACGAGAGAAAGAGTATAGCAGACGCGAGAGTAACCGTAGTGCCGGCGGCCACAACCGCAGCAACAGCAACAAAGGCATGTGCAGATGAGGAAGAGACCGAGACATACGAACCATACGATTGCTATAACTATGAATGGAACCGCAGAAAATCCAACAGACTGAAAACGAAAGAGAACAATCACACATATCAATTACTACATATGAGTTATAACCGAAACTAGCTTAATGGTCGAAACGCAACATATAACATTTTGACACGAGCAGTTTGCTACACGTACGTTTGGCTTAGACACCATCTCTTATTACGTAACAGAACAAAACTAAAGACTGTTCCTAATTCTTAAACACACATGCATTGGTTTGAATTTGACGTGTAGTAGGGGCAAATAAAAAGAAAGGAGAGGACTCACGGCGATGTAATGAGAATTGGTAACGTTCCAACCATCGGTATAAATATTGAAATGGTTGAGAGGATCAGGCCTCCGTGTTCTCTCCGCCGCTAGCACTAATGTCCCATTTGCTCCTTCCAAAATTTGCCTCCTCAATCCTTCAACATGAATTAAATATACATAAAAAACTTTTATCAGATATTTTTTGTGATAGAAAAAACATCAAAACGTTTAAAAAAAAGAAGAGAGAATATATAGATGATGAAGAACCTTGAAATGAGGTTGAGGAGGATGGATGATGATGACAAGAAGAGGAAAGTCCATGAGATAAAGAAACCAAACAGGAAGAGACCAGGATAGCAACGCCGATAAGAAGGAGACGCCGGCGATCATGAAACAACGGCGTTGCGCTATAAAGCATTATCCTCCCTCTCTCTCTTTTGTTTGGTTACGTACGTTTCAAAAATTCTGAATAAAAGGGTTTATGTATCTATATATTTTAAGAAATCTTTCAGAATGTCTCCAGGAAATCGAGGAGAAAGAAGATGATGCAACGATAGCTTTTTTTTCTTGTTCCCTTATTTAGGAATTTATGTTTCCATAATTTTCTCCATCCTATATTTTAATTACTCGTTAAGGTCCCATTGGCTGTCATCAAAAATATTCTCTCCCTTTTTTTTCAACTTCACAAATATATTCTCTCAAAATGAAAATCTCACGCAAAACTCGTTAAGGTACCAAATTAATGTTTTTGAAAGATTTGATATGTTTACATGAAAATAAAACTCATCTAGTTTCCATCTCTTCACCAAAAAAAATCATCCTATAATTATTTGGTTCAAATACAACAAAGGTAACTCGACCAAGAGGTTTACCTGCTAAAGACTCATGCTCTCACGGTTTCTTCACTCACCTACTTGATCCATATGCCACTTTCAAGCTTCCACGGGAATCGATGATCACAAGTGCAACCAGATTACTCAATCCGATCCTTACCCTTTGGGCGATTTCTTTAACCAAACGAATCTTCTTGATATCAAGACAGAACACATAACAAGAAGCTCCCAAAATCGATAAACATCAACTTGTTTGTCCATTTTGAACAAAAACAAATAACCAAATAGTCTCTCAAACTGACTTTTCTATTATCTACAAACTAGCTTCTCTTCTAGTGACGTGTCTACCAACTCAGGCCTTCTCCTTGGAGATAGCCCTCTTTCAACCATCTCATCTTCATACTCCTTAGCCATTTCCAACATCCCTTTCTGAATCAAAACATCAATCATAGCGTTATAAGCAGCTGAATCAGGAGTATCCCCAGACTCTCTCATCGTCTTCCACACATGCAAAACCGGCTGAAGAAACCCCCATCTCTCAAACTTCCTCATAAGCATCACATAAGTATCCATCCTCGGCCTAACCCCACTCCTTATCATCCTACCAAACAGACTCAAGATCTCGCCAGGTTTCTCCATACGCGCAAAGAAGCACATATAAGTAATGGAATCTGGTTGACAACCTTTCTTAGGCATCTCGTTAAGCATCCCATACGCATCCTTCACCCTCCCTTCTTCACATAAGAGCTTAATAATCGTGTTATGAGTCGCAACGTTAGGTTCACAACCTCTTTCCTTCATCTCCCTAAACACTCTAACACCAAAGTCAACACCTTGCGATGCTCCAATGGCGCGAATCACAGTGTTATACGCAACAACATCTAGCTTTATCTTCTTCCTCTTCATTTCCTTGTACAAGTTCACAGCTTTCCAAGGCTTCCCACTCTTACACATTATATCCATGTAAATAGAATACGAAAACAGATCCTTCACAACACCTTCCTTATCCATCTTCTCCCAATACTCTTTACACTTACCCCACCATCCCAACTTAGACCACCCACGAAGAATCAAGTTATGAATCTTAGTAGTATTACTCACACTAAAACCATTACCAACCACACTCTTCCCAAAACAGAGCTCCTCTGCTTCAACCACATGCTTATGCTCACAGAGCGCATCCACTAGATTATAAAAAGACGTCTCATCTCTCAAATTAAAATCATCTAACCTATCGTAAGTATCTAAAGCCTCTTGAACAAGATGCGCAGTAACATAACGTTTAAAGATTATACGGAAAGTGACGTGATTGGTAATCGAACCCGGGTTCTCCTTCATACGGTTAACCAAAGCCCAGGAAGCATCGAACTCGAAGTACTTACCGAGAACATCGATCATACGGTTGAATGTCTCGGTGGTGTGTTTGAATCCTGATTCCTTTTCGACCCAATTGAAAAACTCCAACGCCTTTTGCCAGTCGTTGCTGTAACATGTGATGGCTTCGCATACTGTTTTCTGATCGTAGCTTGACTCATCCACCTGAGCTCGGAGCTTTTCGTCGGAGACGGGTTTTGCAGAGAGAAGCCGAACGGAGGAGTGTGAAGAAACGATTCGAAGTCGATTGAGTCGCCGCAGATATATCGTCGACAAGAGCATTTCTCTCCGCCGCTCTATGCAGAGTCCAAAATTAGGTGAGATTATTGTACCAGTTGCTCATATCGGATCCGATTACCCATATTTGATTTCGTAGGTCCGCACTTAGATTTTGACCCGATTACTGTTCCTATTAATTGGGCTAGTTTACAAGGCCCATATTTGACCCACTTTCTTATGGTTGTGTTGTGTAAGAAATGGACAGGAAATAAATGGATATAAGTGTTATATTTGGTAATGTAAGCAATTTAATTACAAATACTAAGAAGTATGGGGTGGACAGTGAAAATAAATAAAGTGAAAAAAGAAGGACACATAATGCAAAGACCTAACTAAAGTCTTTAAGTGGCAGATACTCTCATATCACTACTGTCTGTACCACAGTTTCAAAATCCGAAACGACGACCCTGACGCAATCCTTTCTTCTACCTGAAATGGCGGCGGCACTGCAGACGAATATCCGACCGGTCAAGTTTCCGGCTACGTTCAGAGCTCTCACCAAACAATCTCCCGCACCCTTCAGAGTAAGATGCGCTGCTGCTTCCCCCGGGAAAAAGAGATACAACATCACTCTCCTTCCCGGCGACGGCATCGGTCCGGAGGTTGTCTCCATCGCTAAAAATGTGCTTCAGCAAGCTGGATCCTTGGAAGGTTTCTCTTTTGGGTGGTTTCATGGGGTTTAGATAAAAGAATCGTGGGGTTTAGGATCTATTTGGATAAACTGGGACACTAGTAATGTTTAGACGATTGCTGTTTTATCAGGAGTGGAGTTTAGCTTCAGGGAGATGGCTGTAGGAGGAGCTGCTTTGGATTTGGTAGGAGTGCCTTTGCCTGAGGAGACCATCTCCGCTGCTAAGGACTCAGATGCTGTCCTTCTTGGAGCCATCGGAGGGTCTGTTACTTCTTCTCTTCTGTTGTTATGTGCTTATTCTTATACAATAATGTTGGTGTGATTATTTCAGTTACAAATGGGATAAGAATGAAAAACATCTCAAGCCTGAGACTGGTTTACTTCAACTTCGTGCCGCTCTTAAAGTCTTTGCTAATCTCAGACCTGCCACTGTTCTTCCACAGGTTACCCTTCTTCTTCTTTTTACTCTCACGAGTTCTTCCTAGCTTCTACTTTCGTTTCCTGTCTGAAACTCAAATTATTATTATTATTCTTCTTCCATCAGTTAGTGGATGCTTCGACCTTGAAG